TTCCCCTCTCCCTCTGACTTCCCTGCTTTCTTGTCTGAGGTTCCCATTCCTAAGGCTCAGCAGAGACCCCAAGCTGTGGCCTAGGCTCCCCTGGTGGCCCCAACCCTCCTCACTGGCCCTCCTCCTCCACCACGACCCCCTCTGCTTTAAAGCCACATGGGTGGCTTCCTGCTCTCTGAACGCAACTTGCCCTTCTTGGCCTCTTTGCACCAAGGATGTCCCTCCCTCTGTCTTTGGAGATGAGACACTTGTGGCTTCAAGGGGCAAATGAGACCCTCTTTATGAACTCTTCTAATGCCCCTCCTCCCTGTCCCTGAACCATGTTGCTGAGCTGACTGTGGACCTAAAAAACACTAATGATGGGGATGATGGTGATGGTAATGCAGGAACAATGGGGGCGTCTGGGCGGCTCAGTCAGTTAAGCATCTGACTCTTGCTTTCACCTCAGGGTACGATCTCAGGGTTGTGAGATCGAGCCCCCTTCTCCCACAGGGCTCCATGCTCAGTGCGCAGCCTGCTTAAGATTCTCTGTCCCTCTCCCTCTGCCCTCCCCCTACCATGTTCTCTCTCACTCTTAAATAAATAAATCTAAAAAAAAAAAACCAAAACCCAAAACCCAGTAAGAACAATGTCTGTCTCAGCCTCTCATCCCCTTTGATTCAGCCTTCCTTGAGGGCAGAGTGTCTCCTGAGGCGGGGGCAGGGGCACAGGCCTCCCACGGGTCTGGCCCAAGTTACCCTGCAGGCACGGAGCTGCTTGGACCTGATGTATGGATGGGTAAAGGGTGCCGGATAGGGACTGGCAGGAGAAAGGTGTGTGGGGGTGGCGGGGGCGGCCATCAAGCACTGTGCATCGTGATCCTGATTATGGAACCTATATCTGGGAATGTACTCATATACCATTGTCAGTAGGCGAAGGAGAGTCTGGAAGGAAACACCCAACAGTTCACAGGGGCTATCCCTGATGAATGGGAACTTTGAAGCATTGGCTTTCAACGTTTCCCAACATTTCTGATCCCTCCTTCAGGGAGAAATACATTTCACATCAGCCACCTTGTACATACACACACACACACACACACACACACACACACACACACCCCTGAAACAGAAGTTTCAGGAAAGCCTATCAGCCTAGGTGAAAGGTATGCTGGTGGTTACATTGTATTCCCCTATCTCAGTTCTTACAATATGCTTCCCTGGATTTGCTAAGTTGATTTCAGGACCCCCTGCTGGGTCCTGAAATCAGTTTGAAAAATCTGTTTCAGTTTGAAAAATCCTGCTCTAAGTGAAGCTTATTCTTTCTCATCTCCCTTCTTCTGTATTTAAAATTTACTACCGAGAATGGACTTATGTATTAGCTTCATATTTTTCACTTAAAAATAAAGAAGAGACAGCACGGGGAAAACACAAAATAATAAAATCAAGTAGAATTTCTGGAAGGCAGTTATACAAGATCTGGCAAACCAGACATCTTTCAAGGTGTGCATGTGTTTTGACCGAGCGATTTCCCCTGCAAGGAATGTTCCAGTGGGGTAAAGCGGCAGGGGGCTGCGTGCACCCGCTGCTCTCTGCGATTCTGTTTATAATAATGAAACCTGCCTCACACTCCAAGCCCCCTGGAGCCATCCCTGGCTGTCCCTTCGCTGGTGGGGCAGTGGTTTCATTCCAGACTTATTTATTGACACGGAAAGAGGGTACCAGGAGTCAAAAATTAATGTCAGGCTACAATAATCCCGCTCTTGTTATTAAAATATATATTTACAAATGTGGGGGGGGGCGATAGGGAGAGGCATGTTTGAAAGTGCTCACACCCTGAGGTTACCTTGGGTTGGTTTTATTTTCTCCTAACTCTTCTGAGTTTTCCTCGATGAGCACGCACTATTTTTGTAAGAAGGAGAGCTTTTAAAGGAAGAGAGAGAAGAAAAGAAAGGAAAGGAAGACACGAGGGAAAAGGAAGAGAGAAAGGGGAAGATGAAGGGGACGAAGGGAGAGTGGGAGGGAGAAGAGAAAGAAGAAAAGTGTGTGTGTGTGTGTGTTTGGGGTATGTGTGTGTGTGTGTTTGGGGTATGTGTGTGTGTGCTGGAACCCCCCGGAGCGGGGAGCCAGCCGGCCGCCTGGGCAGTGGCAGGAGCTCCCGCGGGTCTGAGCGTCCAGTGCTCCGAGTTTCGGTCCAGGAAGCCAGACCGGGCCGGGTGCGCAGGCGGGTAGCAGGCTCCGCAGGGAAGGGAGGTCGCACAGCGCGTCCAGCAAGACCCCCAAAAGGCGGGCCCGGACGAGGAGCGGCCGCAGCAGGCTGTGGGGCCCGGTGGCGGCTGCGGGTGCTCCCGGGCCGCCCTCCGCTGCCTCCGGGCCACCAAATCCCCGCCCCGGCCAGCGCCTGCAGCGCCTGCCGGAGCTCAGGGCAGGCCCTCCCCGGCGCCCAGCCGCGTCCCTACGGCTGGTTCAGGATTCTTCCTGGGGGTTTTGGGGTGGGGGAGGGGGAGGGGAGGAGATGCAGAAATACCATCTGTGCCAATTTTTTCTTAAAAGTTTTTTTTTTTAAATTTAAATACTTTTAAAGCAAAAAAAAAAAAAAAAAAAATCCCAGCTCAGGGTGTCAGTTCCAAAAACTTTTCACAGAGGAGCAGCGTGGGGGCTGGGCGCGGAATTGGAGGCGGCGTTGGTGGAGCAGGGGCCTCTCTTCACCCTCCTGCTGCATCCCCCCTCACCCCTGCAGAACCCCCTCTCACATGCGCGCTGCTCACACCCAGGCGGTCACTAGCACTCTCTCCTTCCATCCCGAGACCCGGACGGTCCTGGGTTCCCGGGCGGGAGCAGTTGGGCTGCCCCACTTGCCCCACTGGCGACCTGCAGACTCCCGCCTCAGCCCTTTCTCCTGCACCCCCGCCCCCCACTGTTCCGCTCCCGGTGTCTCTAGCAGAGGGGGGTGGCGGCCGCGCTAATCCCGTGCTGGCAGCTTCGCCCTCCCCCAGGGAGCAGCGGGGGACCCAGTGAGGGCCGGGATTGCGCGGGAGCGCCGGGACCGAACTGCGGACACAGAGCGGTGCCAAACGCCACGGCCCCCTGCCCACCAGCCCCCGTCCCGGCCACAGGCGTCCCCCTCTTTCCGGTCTCGGTCCTCTCCTCCATCTCGCTCCCTTTCTCCACTTCCCAGTACCGAGCGCGTCGCGGGTGGTGGTGGCGAGGTCTGGCTCGAACTTGGGGTAGCGAAGGAGGCGCAGGAGGAGGGGCGTCCCGGGCAGGGGGCTCACTCCGCTCCGCCCCCGCCCCGCAGGAGGTGTTGCTGCTGGAGTGGTGGCGCTGCCCTCCAGCCCTTCCCCGTCTCCCCTCCCTCCGCCATCGTGCGCTTCGCTAGTCGCACCTCCCGCGGACCCCCGCAGGCAGGCGGGGATTGCAGGGGAGGGAGAGACGATTCTGCAGGTGCGGGAAGGGGACTAAGGGAGGAGCGGGGTGCGGGAACGCGGCGAGGGAGGAGCCAGGTGCGGGAAGGGGGCCAGGGAGGTGCCAGGTGTGCGGAGGCGCCGGCGGTGGTCGGGAGCGCAGTCCTGGAGTGTCCGTAGCCCCCTCATCCTCCACGCCGCCCCTCCCCCACCCCATGGGACGGTCGGAGAAGTTAGTCGCGCGGCTGCAGGGGCAGCTGTGGTTGCGCGTTAGCGCAAGTGGGCGCGGCGGCAAGTAAGGACCCCTCGCCTCTCCCGCCTCCTTCCAGGACCCCTCCCGGCTCGGTTTGTCGGTTTCTCTGCCGACCCCACATACTCCACCGTGGGTGTGCGAGTGCATGTGTACACTCCTGGGTACCCGCATCGTCCCCTTTACATATTCCTTGCCCTCCCGCGCCCCTGCCAGCGCCGGCTCCTTCCAGCCACCCTTCCCCCCAGGGTCACTATGGGGACGCGAGGGAGAGATTTGTGTTTAATTCCTGCCGCTATTCAGAGGAAAGAAAAAAAAAAAAGGGGGACCAAAGGCAACGCGAAAGCAGTTTACTTCAAGCTTTTATTATTGTAGCGTAAAAGAAGTTTATATACAGAGAGTATTTCCAGCAAAACACTCAAAAATGGCCTTCGAATCAGGGGCCTCCCACTTCCTGGCCCCAGAGCCGGCAGCTCTACCCAGGAGACCCCTCACTCGGGGTCTCCATGCGCTCCCCTTCTCTCTCTTCCCTCGGACTCCTCCACCCACACCCCGTTTCCCAGGAGTCCCAGCCTCTTCCTTCTCCCTGGGGCGCTGCGAACCTCGCCAGTGCCTCTCAAGCCGGCTTCCTCTGGCCCCGAACAGTACCCCCAGCCCCCCTCTTTGACCCCCTGTGTGGCGCTTTCCTCCCGGAAGCCCAGAATACTTTCCCTCCCTCGTTTCAGGCGCTGCTGCGAGCCCTCTGCAATTCAGAACCAGCTCGTGGTCAAGACCAGTTAGAGACAGCTCGTCATCAGCAGTGGGGCTCCTGAGCACCCAAAATAAGGGGGGGAACCCTGGCCACCCTTCCCCACCCCAGGCCCCCATTCCCAACTCAGGGACAAGAAATAGACACAAAAGCAGCAGAGCGCCCCCTCCCTGCCAATGACAGGTGTGGGTGCCAGGCACCTAGGGCGAGCAGCAGGCACTGACCGCCGGCCAGAGACTCTCCGCGAGGGCTGCTGCACCTGGCTGAAGGCACAGTGGCTCTTCTCTCTGGGGAGGGGGTGTGAGAGGCAGGGGCCTCCGCGGGGACGAGTGGGGGAGGGGAGGACCCAGGCAAAGGTGGCATCCACACTCAGAAGGGGGATTTCGAGCCAGCCAGGCAGGTGCAGGTGAGGGACAGTCACAGCATCAGAGTCCGGGGAGGCGAGGGAGAATTTTCAGGCGCCTTGGCTGGGGGCGCAGACCCAGCCGGCGATCCCTGGCTCAGCACATCTGTGTCATGGGGCCCTCTGCACACCCGACTTGTTTGGGGGGCATTTGCACGTGGGCTTCGAAGGCTCGAAGGCATGGCCTGCCAAGTTCAGCCAACTGGCCCATGGTTGTTTACACTCGGCGGGGCTGAGCACCGTGCAGCTGCTCCTCATAGCGCTCCAGCCAGGTGCGCAGCTCAGACACCTGGTAGCCGTCCGGGCCGCGGCCACCCTGGTACATAATGGTGCCATTCTGGATTACGTAGAGGCGCTCGAAGTAGGCCCCATAGGCCGAGCTGCTGGAGTTGGCCATGGTGTCCAGGACAAGGGAGCAGCTGGGCGCCCCTTGCTGCAATACTTGGGCGGCGCTGACCCGGTCCTCCAGGCTTCGGTGCTGCGGGATACTGTAGGGGGAGTCCGTGGTGACCCAGCCATCCGAGGGGTGGGCCTCCTCGATGTAGATGATGAGGAAGTCGACGTCGCGCTGGTATTTGGTGACCAGGCGGTGGAAGGCGCTCATGCGCGCCATGAACGGTGGTCAGGTGCAGCTGCCGAAATTGAGAACCAGCGGGCGGTTCCCTCTCGCGTAGTCAAGGATGTGCTGGTTCTGGAAGCCGTGGGGCAGGACCACCTCGGAGTTGGGCGCTGGACCGCCCTCATACGCCTGCTTGAAGAAATCCAACTTCTGGCCGTGCCAAACGGCCTTCAGCGATGCCAGGGTGCACAGGCGGTTGTCATCGGACACGCAGACAGGCGGGTCGTCGGGGGGCACCTCCTCGCCGTCACTGTCGAGCTCCACGGCAGGTTCGGGCTGACCCCGGCGGCGGCGGCCCAGGAAATGCTTGCGGATGCACAGGAAGTCCAGGAGCCAGAGCATGAAGGCCGTGCCGAGGAAGCGCGGGAAGAGCACGAGGCACGAGGCCGTCTGGGCGCAGAGCCTCAAGGAGTGAAGCAGCAGGGAGCGGAGCATGGTGGCTGCAGCCCCCGAAGCCCCCTGGGACCCGCTACCTTCACCCACCACCAGCCTCGGGGTGGCCTGGCGCGGCATCTGGGCTTTGGCTGTACGGGGAGCTCGATTTATAGCCGAGGCTTCAATTGGCGGGAGACTCCACCTCCGGCCCGGGCCCGCCCCCTTGCAACTTGAGCCCGGAGGGATCACCCAGCGGCGTGGCCAATGCCTTAGAAATCTAGGGCCGAGGGCGGGCGCAGGCGGCCGGGAGGAGGGGGGGCGCGGAGCGGCCCAGCTAGGGGCCGGCGGGGGCGGGGCCGGGCCCCCGAAGCGCGCTCTCGGGGGCGGGGGACCCGGGTCGCTGCTGCCACCCGGGACGGGGAGCTGGACCAGGGACCCAGGCGTCCGCCGGGGAGATCCTCCCGCTCCGGCTGGCGCAAGCGCTGCGCGCGGCCTCGGTCCTGGAGGCCCGCCTCCGGCCCGCGCCCCTCTCGCCGCGCACCTGAGCGGAGCTCCCCGGCGGCCGCCGCGCCGCGCCGGAGCTCCGGTTCGCTTCCCGCGCGCCGCCGCCAACGCCGCCCCCGCCGCTGCTGCTCGTGCGGGGCCGCTGCCCAGGTGCCGCGGGAGCCCGGGTCCGCGGCCGCCGCTCTGCCGGCCCCGGCTCCCGCCCCGCCGGGGACGCGGACCCGCGAGGAGGCAACTTTGGGCCCCCGCCGCCTTCCCCGTTCGCCCGCGGGCGCCGCTCGCCTCCCGGAGCCCGCCCGCCCGCTCGCCTCCCGCGCGCGCTCACACTCGCGCCTCGCACACGGCCGCCCCCCGCACCGCCCCGCCACGCACACCGCGCTCGGCGCCCCCCGCCGCTGCCCGGGGCCGCCGCGCGCCGTCCCGGCCGCGCCCGCCCCGTCCCATCTCGTCCCGGCTCGGCGCCGCTCTTCTCGGGTCAGCGGCCTCTGGGGCGCAGCGGGGAGGTGCGGAGGGCAGGGCCCGAGGGCCGCTTAGCGCCCGGCGCCGGAGACGGGGAGGGCTGGGGAAAGCAGCGCCGGGACTGCGCCCCAGCCGGTCCCGGAGCGCTTCGGGCGCGGGGCGCCGCGGGCGCGGGGCGCGGGGCAGCGGGCGTGGGGCGGCGGCGGCCCCGGCGGCTCTCCCACTAGGGGTAGCTGTTGCCTGAACGCCGAAGCGCTCCCCTCTCGCCGCTCTCCTCGCCCGGCGCAGCCCCGGCCGCCGGGCGCACCCGTCCCGTGCGTCCCCGGACGTTGCTCTCTGCCCCGGGAACGTCGAGACTGGAGCGCCCGAGCTGAGCCACCTTCGCCGACCCCGAGCGCGGCAGCTCGACTCACCGCGGAGGCGCCCGGACGCGTAAAGTGCGTACTTTCAACCGAGAATGTGTGTTGAGGCTTTTAGGGGTGCGGGGCAACTCCCCAACTCCGTGGGGCCCTCGTCCGCCCGGCCGCCGAGTCAGCGACCTTCTGATTCCTCGCTGCGTCCGGCGCTGGGCCGGCGACTCGTGCGCAGGGGCGGCGGGGCGGGGAAGTGCCCTGACCTGGGGTCCCCGAAGCTGGGAGCAAGCCCCGCTTCGCCTTGGTCCGCCTTGCCCTCCGGGGCGAGGCCCGGGCCCTGTCGCAAGCGATTTGTACCGGGTCTGGGGAATGGAGCCTCCCGGTACGCCCTCGCAGTCGCCGGGACTTCTCTGGGGCGGCGGTGGCCGAATTCCGGGGCCACCGCCGCCTGCGTCCCGTGCGCTGCGCGCCTCGGGGACCAGCTCCTAACTTCTTCCCGGGACAGAGACAGCTCTGGCGCCGGTGGCCGAGGTGGGAGCTCGCTCGCTGGCTGGATAGGGCGAGGGCGAATCGCTCCCGGTGGCGGCGGCGATGTTGGCGAGGGCGACGGTGAGGGAACGAGGCTGGAGAAGTCAACTGCCGGGCAAGGAGCCCCCACCCGGGGGCCAGCGGGACCCCGCGAGCGCGGGGGTAGACGCCCCGCCTTGGGCCGAGGTCCTCCTCTCCAGTTTTCGCGACTCTAGTGGGCCCCTTTGCCGGGTAAGTTTCCCGCTGGATCAGTGGCTCCAGCAGGTCAAGACCCAGAGAGGAAGGTGGGGGGCATTTGAATGTAGCCCCCCTTCTCTTTCTCCCAGTCTGGCGATTTCTCTGCTGTCGGCTCAGGGATTTGGGGCTGCACAGTCCAGGATCTCCCTGCCTGGAGGAAAGCCAGCCTGGTCCCAGCTTTTCCAGCCTCTTGGCACTGCCCCTCATTCCCCTGCGTAGGGGTCCTTCAGGAAGGGTTAGGGAATTCTCCCTGAGCCAAACCTGACTGGAAGGGGGGGGGACCGGTCCAACTTGTCTGCCCCCCCTCCCCCGCCCACTTCTCCAGGGCACCTCTGAGTTGGCAAATTGTTTCCTTTCTTTGCCTTGCTCCCCTCTCGGGGGTATGTGGGGAGAGAAGCCTCCTGCTTGGCAAGTGTCTGAGAGGGGGTTTGGCGGTCTGGGGTGCCCCTCCTGGGCAGGGGCAAGGGGAATGCCAACTTTGGTTGGCAAAACTTTCAAGCCCCTATTCCTTGGTTTCTTGGGGGGGGGTGCCAGTCTAGGACCTGTGCCCTGCTCCCACCCAGAAGCTGGGACAGGGCCATGGGGCAGCCCTCCCCCATCCCATATTTGAGTTTCAGAAAATGAAAAAGCCACTTGGGGCTGGGAGAGCCCTTTGTGCTGCCTGGGATCTGGTGGGGGTGCTGCTGGTTGCTGGCGCTGGTGGGTGTGTGGAAGGAGTGGGCTGGGGCACGTGGGGGACAGGTCCTCCTCGTCTGCTCTGCCAGCCGGCCCTCCCAGCCACCCTGACCCCGCACTGCCTCCAGCCCCAGGGAGGCTCGGGAGAGCCGCACTTGTCCCTAGGGCTGTCGCTGCTCCGGGGCTCTGCTTGTTTCCTGGGCTGACACGCTGCATTCCATGTCTCAGGGTTCCAGAACGTTGGACAAGGTGATCTGGCCCGTCTGGCTCCCACTGCCTCCCGTGCAGGTGAGGACAGATTCAAGGTCCATGCCTTTAGAAGCCAGGCCCAGGCGAGGCAACTTTTACTCCATTCCTCTCTTCTCCCTCTCCTAAATCCTCTCGCCTCCCCAAGAGCCCCCACTCCACCTTCTTTCCTTTTCCTCAGGGTGGAACACCAGCTTGCCTCGGACCTGGCCCTTCCTACCAACTGCTCCTCCTGTCCTGACCTGTCCTGGGGAGGTCAGCAGTGAGAGTCTGGGTCCAAGGCCCAGAGACCTGGCCCCGTGGGCGCTGGGGTCACCAGAGTGGGTGCTGGGGCTGTTCCCCAAGCCTTCCGGGTATGGCTCTGACTGTCCCCCCTTCCCGCCTGCCCTCTCACAGCTCCAGCAGGGGGCGGGCGGGGGAAGGAAAAGGAAGGACAAGTTGAACTGGGTCCATCTGGTGTCCAGGAGCAACTTGAAAGGGGGTGGGGGGAGGGGACAGGCAAAGAGGGCTTGGCTCAGCCAAGGGAGGGTTGGGTGGCCTTCTCGCTTCCCAGGCCATTCTCACAGGGCTGTCTCCCCGGGCAAGGGAGGGGCTGGGCAGTGTTTGCCCAGGCTCCGAGCCCTCCCCCACAGTGCCCTGTATGGGGCTTGGTGGGTGAATGGGCACAGCCTCCCTTTTTCTCCTGGTGAGCAGCTCCCAGGGACCAGGGAGACGGCTGCTGAGACTTCCCACGGGAGCAGGCTGGGCAGCACGGCAGGAGGAGGTGGGCCAGCCACGTACCGGCCAAAAGTGGCGGAGAACCAGGTGTGCGGTGTCCGAGCCCTTGCCCACCCTCGTGGTGACTCAGCTGCCAGGGCCTCAGCCTTCCACGGGCCTCAGGAATTCCTACGTGCTCCCTCTGTGCTCCCTCCAGGTGGCTCTCCTTCCCCCTCCTCCTCCACCCCTTCCCTCTGCCTGTGCTCTGCTTGTCCCACCCTCAGAGGGAGCTGGGACCTCCCTTGTCCTCCCCTGTGTCCTCACCCCTGGGCATTCCCGCAGCACGGAGCCTCAGGAGGGCTGGGCTGCGCCTTAGGTCCCCGCCCGTCCCTGCTGCTACTCCGGCCCTGCCTCCCCCAGGTGGGCCCAGCTGGATCCTTCCCAGAGACCTGCTCCCAGCACCCAGGAGAAGCCCAATAAACCTTCGTGAAACGAGTGAATGAGTGTGGCGTGGACTTACTGGAGACTTGTTTCCGGAGAATTCCAAGGCATTTCATTCTGCCCTTTTTCCTACTGGCGGCTGGGAACGAGGTAGGGCATGTAGGCAGTCGGGGCCCGGGGAGGCCTTGCCGGCCATGGGGCCAGCCCGTTTCCCTTCTGAGGTGAACAGGCCATGCCATGGGCATCCTCCCATCCTGTGCTCACACATATTGTTTGCTTCCAGAATCACTTCTTTCCCAACTTCCTTCCACTGGGCCGGGCTGGACAGGGGGCTGGACGGGAGGCTGGACGGGGGGCGGCGGCTGTGGGCTTGCTGGTCTGTCTGCTCTTAAAAGGGTCCTTAAGACAGCAGGTGTCACACCCCTTCCGCCCCTGTTGGCCCCCTCCCGGGGGTGGAAGGCAGGACCGGGAGAGCTGGTCGAGCTCCCCAGGTGGCTGGGCAGGTTGGGAGCCCGGCACTGAGAGCTCAGGAGGGCCCCAGAGCCTGGATGGGCAAGGGTTTGGGTAGCATTCCGGGGTTAGAGGCCTGGGGCTCTTGGCCAAGGGGAGGACAGAGCCCTGAAGGTGACAGCCAGGCCACCTGCTGTGTGACCTGGGCATGTCCCATCCCACCCGTTGGGTCTTACCCACACTGCAAGGGAATTGGGAGGCTACTTCCCAATGCCTTCCCTGTGCTGGCCCTCCACAACTCCAGAAGGTTCAAGGAAGTATTACAGGACCTGTCCTGCTCCTGCGTGCTGCTCTGGGGCTGTGAGACCCCCGCTGGAGGGCGGACTGCATCTCTGGCCTTGTTACTTGGCCCCAGCTTTTCTTTCGCGAGCCCAGCCCCTGCCACAAGTCTGGGCCCTCACATTTCGGCCCACCCGCTCCTCAAACCCTGGGCGCCAGTGTTCCTGCTGTGACTACAGCCCCAACCGACACCCCCCATGCTCCCTGCTG